TCCTTACCTGATTATATTGACCTTGAAGTAAAGCTGTTATATAGGGATCTTAACTAAAAAAAAATGCAGATAGGCTGTTCTCCCTCGACTGCATTGTTTTTCGTGGTGTTTATGTAGTGAAAACTAATGTATATAAGAATTCTGACGCCACCCATCTTCGTAAAATTTGAAGAAAGTACAACCATCCCTAGCCGGCCAGGCAGGCGCCAGCGACCCCGGGGTTAAAGGTTTCTGGCAGTCAAAGAATATACATTCCAGCTATCTTACTCTGTCTTCCCTGAGTCAATATCTCATAGAATTCTACGGATTATTTGTATTGTAAGGTTAGTTTTTTCTCCTTCACTGGACCTGCTCTAGTGTTCCATGTGAATTTTTTCCAATTATTCTACTATTGTCTGTGTTGTTATTTTTCTCATCAACTTTCATGGAAGGTATATCCAACAGATTTGACTGATATCTGTGTTTCTTTTTTTTAATATTAATGCTGAATAACGCTGAATATTTCCAGCTTTTCCATCCTCTGCGGCTTTTTTGTCAATACAGTCAAGTAACTTACTTAGATAACTTCAGTTAACTTGGGGCTTCATCTCCCAATTTCAGAATCTAAGAAAAACTTCTCCTGTGGTTTAACTGTCTGTGTTACATGCAATTATCTCAGATATTTCAGTATTTCTACCTTTGTATATGAACGTGTCTGTTCTCTCCCAGTTGAAGAGGTTGGTTCCAATCGTGTATGTCACCCACACATAACAGCATTAACACTCATACCTACACCTACACTCACACCCACACCAACACCCATACCAGCACTAACACCCATAGCTCAACTCACACCAACATTTATCCCTTACCAACGATGACGTAAAACCCATGGAACGCAGAGTTTCCAGTAAGGAATATCATCTCCGACCCACACTGACGTCATGTACCGGAGTTTAAGAAGTGACACAGTACTCACTGAGTGTTGGGATTTTGGGGTAGTGGATGACACGATGTGATAGGCTGAAGCTCTAGGGGAAACTCGGAGAGATGTATTTCGTGATGCAGAGGTGGCGTTTTCAAGCAAAAACCATTCCGTAGCACTTCCTAATCATACACACTGACATTTTACTATTCCCACATTCACACTCATACCTACACCCACATTCTCACACCCACGATGACAGAAATAGTGTAGTCCAAGACATATATAGCAATAATTCCAAAACAACGGACCAACAGCAAATGGACCCAGAAGATGACAAGCAAAGATAAGATGCTTCCTGTACAGTATATTCGACTTCACACTGAAGAAGGCCTTACTTAGAGGCCGAAATGTACAGAGCTATATTTCTGTCTTATTATCTTCATGTGGAATTTGTACCATAAAAATTCTATACACCAGAAGACACTGAATAACGAAGCCCTTAGTTCAGCTTCGTCATTATTGATAATTATAACGAAGTTGAACTAGGGGCTCAGGATAAAGGTGGTACAAATACTCACTCGCCGAGCTTCTGTGTACATCTAAGATATGTTGCTGATGCTGCACACGGGATCCATGAATATTCATATACTAAGTGGAGGCTATTAGTATGAGGCATGGACACCTATTACACGAGAAGAAGAAGAAGAAGAAGAAGAAGAAGAAGAAGAAGAAGAAGAAGAAGAAGCAGAAAAAAACAAGGAAAATAAGAGGGGGAGGAATTATGCAATAATTAATTCAGTTTTAAGCCTTTTTATGCATAATAAAAGGTGCTTTTGTTTTGAAACTACCTAGATGCAACTGCCAAGTTAATTTTACAGTATCTGAGGTTCAGTTTTGTTGCTTCACTTTTATCGCTCTGTTGTCTGGCTTGATCTTGAACTATTGTACTTAGTTTTGGACTTGTATGCTGTTAAAGCCTCGGCTGTGTCCCCGTGGAGACCTCTCCACGCTGAAACTACATCCCGCTGCAACTACCTCACGCTGCAACTACCCTCACACTGCAACGCTCTGCAAGAATTTCTTAGTGGTAGGATACCATCTGTGTCTCTTATTCTCACTTTATTCAATAGTCGAGTTTGCTAAACCTTGTATATTCATGACTCACGAAATCGTAATGACACGACTGCAAACAAACCATACCACGGGTATGGTTTGTTTTAACCCCACACGTGGTATGGTTTGGTTTTTTCTTGTCTGTTCTTCAGAGTATTTTGCATGTAAACCAGGGAACGGGTGGGAATTGAACACATGGCATCTCCATTAACTACTATATGCTGGAGTAGAGTTTCAGAAGTCACATCTTCGACCATTCATGCAATTGGCCTGGGTCATCTTGCAACTTTTGGTATTCGGTAATCAACTTGCCTTCTCATCTGTTTTGCGTCATCTACGAGCGCTAATACCTACGATTATGACTGCCACGTTTAAATCATTTGCATGCATCAAAAATAGTATCAGTCCCAGAATGGCTCATTGTACTCACCTATTTGTGGTTGCAGGGGTCGAGTCCTAGCTCCTGGCCCCGCCTCTTCACCGGTTGCTACTGGGTCCTCTCTCTCTCTCCGCTCCATGAGCTTTATCATACCTCGTCTTAAAGCTATGTATGGTTCCTGCCTCCACTACATCGCTTTCAAGGCTATTCCACTGCCTGACAACTCTATGACTGAAGAAATAGTTCCTAATATCTCTCTGACTCATCTGTGTCTTCAACTTCCAATTGTGACCTCTTGTTTCTGTGTCCCCTCGCTGGAACATCCTGTCTTTGTCCACCTTGTCTATTCCGCGCAGAATTTTATATGTCGTTATCATGTCTCCCCTGACCCTCCGGTCCTCCAGTGTCGTCAGGCCGATTTCCCTTAACCTTTCTTCATAAGACATTCACCTTAGCTCTGGAACTAACCTTGTCGCAAACCTTTGCACTTTCTCTAGTTTCTTGACGTGCTTTATCAAGTGCGGGTTCCAAACAGGTGCTGCATACTCCAGTATGGGCCTGACCTACACAGTGTACAGTGTCTTGAACGATTCCTTATTAAGGTATCGGAACGCTGTTCTCAGGTTTGCCAGGCTCCCATATGCTGCAGCAGTTACCTGGTTGATGTGTGCTTCCGGAGACATGCTCGATGTTATACTCACTCCAAGATCTTTCTCCTTGAGCGAGGTTTGCAGTCTTTGGCCACCTAGCCTATACTCTGTCTGCGATTTTCTTTGCCCTTCCCCTATCTTCATGACTTTGCATTTGGCGGGATTAAATTCGAGAAGCCAATTGCTGGACCAGGTGTCCAGTCTGTCCAGGTCTCTTTGAAGTCCTGCCTGATCCTCATCTGATTTAATTCTCCTCATTAACTTCACATCATCTGCGAACAGGGACACTTCTGAGTCTAACCCTTCCATCATGTCGTTCACATATACCAAAAATAGCACTGGTCCTAGGACCGACCCCTGTGGGACCCCGCTCGTCACAGGTGCCCACTGTGATACCTCATCACGTACCATGACTCGTTGTTGCCTCCCTGTCAGGTATTCTCTGATTCATTGCAGTGTCCTTCTTGTTATATCTGCACTAATCTCTTGTGAGGAACTGTGTCAATGGCCTTCTTGCAGTCCAAGAAGATGCAATCAACCCACCCCTCTCTCTCGTGTCTTACTTCTGTTACTTTATCATAAAACTCCAGAAGGTTTGTGACACAGGATTTGCCTTCCATGAATCCATGCTGGTTGGCGTTCATACTCTTGTTCCGTTCCAGATACTCCACCACTCTCCTCCTGATAATCTCCATAACTTTGCATACTATACACGTCAGTGGCACAGGTCTATAAGTTTAGTGCCTCTTTTCTGTCTCATTTTTTAAAAATGGGAACTACATTTGCCGTCTTTCATACCTCAGGTAGTTGCCCAGTTTCTAGGGATGTGTTGAAGATTGTGGTAAGTGGCACACACAGCGTATCCACTCCCTCTCTAAGGACCCACGGGGAGATGTTGTCCGGTCCCATTGCCTCTGAGGTATCGATGTCCCTTAACAGCTTCTTCACCTCCTCCTCATTTGTATGTATGTCATCCAACACTTGTTGGTATATTCCTTGTGGTGTCCCCCTCTGTTCTGTCCCCCCAGAGGCCTTCCTGTCTCCACTGTAAATACTTCCTTAAATCTCATATTGAGCTCCTCACATACTTCTTGATCGTTTCTTGTCAGTTCCCCACCTTCTTTCCTCAGCCTTATCACCTGGTCTTTGACTATTGTCTTCCTCCTAATGTGGCTATACAGCAGTTTCGGGTCAGACTTGACTATCGATGCTATGTCGTTTTCGTACTGTCGCTGGGCCTCCCTCCTTATCTGTGCATATTCGTTTCTGGATCTTCTACTAATCTCCTTATTTTCCTGGGTCCTTTGCCTCCTGTACCTTTTCCATTCTCTGGTGCACTTAGTTTTTGCTTCCTACACCTTCGGGTAAACCAAGGACTCGCTTTGGTCTTCCTATTATTTCTATTTCCCTTGTGTGTGTGTTGTGTGTGTGTGTGTGTGTGGTGTGTGTGTGTGTGTGTGTGTGTGTGTGTGTGTGTGTGTGTGTGTGTGGGCCTATTTCTTTGTGATTACTGAAAAGTTATGTTCGTGATGTCACTTTTTTTTTAAATATATCACTGTCCTTGTTAAACTTTTCTAGTGGTACCGCCTCAGTTGAGTAAAAAAAAAGCCTGAAATCCTTATTCAACTTTGTTCCAGTTTAGTTGATATATCAACTTATGAAAGTTAAGACACATGTGCAACATCTGGTAACCTTTATTGTAGACGTTTCGCCATCCAGTGGCTTTATCAATTCAAATTCTAGGACATAACTAGAAGACAGTAGAACTATATACGAAAGTTGAGGTAATCAGTTTTGTCCTAGAATCTGTATTGATAAAGCCACTGGATGGCGAAACGTCTGCAATAAAGATACCCAGATGCTGTACATGTGTCTTAACTTTCATCTTGTCGGTATTGTACACCTTTCTTGTTAAACATATCAACTTATGTAAGTTTTCTGTGTGTTTCAGAGGCGAACTGGAGGATTGTAAACCTGAAAGAAGGATAACTAAACTCGATGGAAAGGGAGAAGTGACGATGATGGAGGTGGGTGTCTGGGAGGACCTGACGATGAGAGGTAAAGAGAACATCAGCAGCCGTAAGAACAATGCGCACTTTAAGAAGTATACATCAGTGAAGGAATGTCACAAGAGAACAGAAGAGTTGCGAGAGATCAATCTCATGTTATTCAGTGAAAACGATTTGCCAGTTCAAAAGAGGGAAACGTTGATTGAAGGAAGCGTGCACAGTAAGACGGGATTAAAAGATACGCCGCACATGCAGATACTCTTTGAGAAAGGATGTCGATTCGAAGGAAAAGTTGCTGAATTTGAACATAGTCTTGACGAAGTCCTTGAAGACCTTGTGGTAGGTACGTCAGCAGGGATTGGCATGGAAGAGCGATGTCCTGCCGCTGGTCTGAGCTACTGCCAGAGGTGTGAGAGAGGACCCAAGTGCTGTGTTGGCCTAGAAAATCAAAACTTGAGTGATAAGCAGAGGGGATCGAAGTCCCTCGGCTCTACAGCTGCTGCCTGCGAGGATAATGGGATTGATACATTCTGCCATCTGGAGGACAGTGATGGCATTGTCTCCCTCCACCGTTGGAAGAGCAATGATGACCTCCGATGCCGAAAGGAGAGGAATGTCAGTGACATCCTCCACCGCCGGGAGAACAGTGACGACACGAGTGCTGTTAGTTATTATTTAGACCAGAAGAGCTGCCAGGAGAACACAGCGGTCCACTATGACTTCTTCGTAGATGACGATGAAGACGCTGGTGAATACCGTGATTTAAGGTACTGCGATGAAAATGGTGATACTGATAACTGTGAGCGTGAAGATGGAGACAGCGATGACTATGAGGGCGAAGATAGTGAGAATTTTGGTGAAAACCTTCAGAAAGAATATGGTTTTGATGATGAGGAAGAATATAGCGTAGATGATGATGATGATGATGACAGCGAGGAGGTGGCAGAGATTTGCAACAAGGCTGTGGTCGCAACACCACTACGACGGATTCATAGAGACAGTTTCTCTCGTTATCAGGAACCGCTGGAGGTCATCCTCGAAATCTTAGGAGAAGAAGGTGATACCGAGGACACGGTCATCCTCGACGGCACGGAACACACGCATACTGACACAGAGAAAAACACAGAGGATGATCTAATAACGTTTTCTAGCAGTGGAGAGTACAGTCCCGATAGCTTAGAGGAATACTGTTCACGGAAGAACAAGTGCAGCGTAGAACTGTCTAGTCAAGCTTCCACCTACGAGAATTATCTTTTAAGGCAGGATTTAACGCATGATTCAGTGATGCAGCAACAGGATTACACCGAGAGTAAAAGCAACCGAATTTCTTCCTGTGGGGCAACAACAGTCGCTGGTGTTGAGAACCTGAGAACAGACATTGTCCAGCAGCCTCCAGTAACCAGCCAGAGGACCGATCCCTCCTCGGCACGTACAAATGAACCCGGACTGTCAGGTTTCAGAAGCAAGGCGGAGGAGTCAGACAGAGACAAGTTGAAGAGCCTCACCTCCGAGATTGAGGCCTACCTGAAAGAGACAAAGATGCTGTTGGAGAGTGCCACGAGTTACACATCTAGAGCGGCACTCAGAACCACCAAGACCCCAGCAGAGAAGCCCATCGACGAACCAAACAAGAAAATGTCCCGACAAAAGTCCAAAGATGAAGTGGACAATAATGCTTCAAATGAAAATATAATTTCGACGAAAGTTTTGGATTCCCAACTGAGAGAGTTGCAGAGCGTCACTAGTCAGTCCTACATCAAGTCTCAAGCTAGTCAACCACCAGGTATCCACGCTGCCACACAGTAACGTGAGAGACTTTGAAATTTCGTCTGGGGCATCTAGACCAAAGGAAATTAATAATGCGACAAACGCACACGATGGGCGTCCTTCCTTGAATGCAATAGTTCCCAAACAGAAGATTATAGCAGATGAAAGATGACACCACTTGTACCACGAAAACTATCGCTCAAAGAAATGAAAGTCGTAATAGTTTCACCCGAGACAAGATCAGTTAAAAATATGGCAGCTTTCCCGACGTCTTTTCATCCTAATTTAGAACACAGTAACAAACCTGTGCCCTATTTCCACACCGAGGTGAAATCTGAAGAACAGGTGAAAAGCCTTGAATCTGTGAAGAACACTCACAGTGTATGTTTGTCAGATGTAAAGGACACCAGAAGAGACTCAATTACTCCTGAAGAGAAGACACAAAACTCTAAACAGCATGAAAATGACAAAAGTGACTCTGGAGCAAGGAAGACCAGCGAATATTTACCAGCTTTGGAAGCCCCTGCTAAATCCACGGAAGCCATAAACTGTGAGGATCATCCCAAGAAAATTAAGCAAGGCAAGGAGACAAGCATCGTCTGCGGAGTTAGTCAGAACAACAGCTGTAAATTCAATAGTTTAGCGAACTTCAGAAAGGACTGGTGCGCTGTCTTCAAGGAATTGGAAGACAGTTTTGATGCCGTTATAAAGAACGATAACACAGGTGTTATACTCGATAATCACTCAGGCGATATAGGAAAGAGTCACTTGGGTGTTATCAAGAGCGCTCTTCCTGGGGTTATCAAAACCGATAAGAAAGTTTTTACCAAAGACGATATCCCTGAAGTTATCAAGAACATCAACGAAAGAATTATCCGGGTCGATCATCAAGTCATTACCAAGGTCGATTATGCAAGTATTATCAAGAAGGAAAACTCAGTCATTAAGAAGGATGGCCAATCTAGACCTCTCAGAGATGAGCACTCAGGTGTTAAAAATACCTGTGACCAAAGTATTGTCATGAACAATCACCCAGGTGTTACAAAAGATCACCCTGATGTTGTCAAGAGCAGTGTCACAGGAGTCAGCAAGAGTATACAGTTATGCTCTGCATCCAATTTGGACAACGAACTGAAGGAAAGTTATCGGAGTGTTCAGTCTATTGGCGAAGCAACTACGGAGATTAAGTCTCGGGGCGTTCAATCCGATATTAAAAATTCTGAAACAGAGGTCACGAATAGGAGTGTACAGTCCATTGATAAAACAACTTTTGGAACCAGTTCGCCGGGTGATCAAGCTAGCGCTAAAAAATCTGAAATAGTCACAAACTCCTCTACATCTGAGGCTTCAGACATCGTTGAAAATCCTTTACGACAAAGGCCCCTCAGTAGATGCGAGTCTCCTCCTCCGACGGTGAACTGCCTGGACAACCTTGAAAAACTTTATATCCGTCTGAGCCTAGAGCAAAATCAGTTTTCTTCGCTATTTGAATCCGAGGGACAGTCGCTAACAGGAAAAGAGCAAAATGTATCTAGCTCTCAGAAAGATGATGGAAAAGTAATACGTGAAGAGGACAAATCAAAGTTTGTAAAGTCTATTTTGCATGATCCTGACGAACGGAATGAGGTGAATAATGAAAACAAAACACATCTAATGATGGGTATTCAACACCTGCAGAAGAACGTTGCTAAGACTGATAAACAAAAAGACCTGACGCCGACTGCAATAGATTGCAAGCAACAAGACCTCCCTCTACTTGAGTTAGCCTGTGCAAAGGAATCAATGAGAGAAAACGTCCATTGCTCAAACACTAAAGAAAACGTAAGGAGTAACTTCGTAAATCGAGATGTGTCACATGAATCATCGAAGGCAAAATATATTGGGGAAAAAATTGACGAAATATTTAGTAGCGTTGAAAGTGACGCTTCTGTAGGCATATTCTCTAATGTAACTGGAATACTAAGGCCAACTAAAGCTAAATCACATAATTTAACTACCGAAGCACAGGAGATCGATGAGAAAAAAGATATTTCACTCTTAGAAAAGAAAGACATTCAGGCAGAACTGAGCAGCATTCTAGGTGGCTTAGATGAGATGTATGAGAAACACTTGAAAAAACACCCAGATATAAAGGCGCATGAGACAAAAAATGTAAAGTCCTGTAAATTTTCCTTTGTCGACTGTAACAGAGCAAGGAAACTAGCGAAGCAGGAAAATGACGTCCATGACAAAACGTCACCGCCTCGACTAATAGGGGAGAGAAAAAATATCAAAGGTACCAGTGAAAACGCGGCCTTCCAGGATATTATCAACATCTCTGAAGACCTGAAGCATCTCTGCCTGTTCCACGTCAACAGACCTACATCAAGGAGATCGTCTGGACGCCTGACAGACACCACTACAGACAACGGAGTACCCGAAGACGACTTACCACAGTTCTACGACAGCCTCCGTTCACCTCCTGAAGCAACCATTAAGAAATCAGTAAGCGACAAAACCAGCAATATACTGGTGGACAGGACCTCAGGAAGACCCATCTCGGGAATCCTGCAAGGACAGGAAATGCAAAGAGGAAACTTGAGTTTTCGTGAAAGCACAAGCTCCAGCAGAGGAGAGGAGCTACCTGAAGAAGCTGAACAACCTGTAGCGCACTTCCTGACTCAGCTTCGTCAGGAGAATCTGAGGTGTTACGAAGTGACACTCATGTGTCTAGTGAAACTTGTCGCCATGACCCAGGTGGACTTGGGAAGTAACCTGAAGGTCAGTGTTTGTCTCTGTTTTTTTTTTTTTTTTTTTTTTTGCAGCTTAATCTTTTTATTACATATTGTCAGTATCTCCAGTGTGTTACATGCAAACGATACTTTTTCAAAGAGTAAATATTTATTGCTTTTATTTGTGAATACATGCAAAATGTTTAGTAAATAAGGTTTATATACGTCATGACTATGTTATAATCAGACAGTAGTTTTTATTTACAATCTCTCTCTCTCTCTCTCTCACTCTCTCTTGCAACCCACAACGCACAGAATAACACAATTCACCTTTCTTCTTATACAGCCAGTCACCTCTGTCTGTTTACATGCATGGCACCGTTCACCAGACTTTGTATCTCTTTCAGGGGTCACTACACAACAGCGCAGAAACTCTCACTCCCTCCGACTCAAAGGTAAGTTTTAACTTATACCTTCTATTTAGAGATTTTCAGGTATTTTCCACTATTTTTCTATGGAGGGAAAAACAAATCTTCACATGACCTGAAATTCCTTTTATTATGAATTTCTGGCTCTTACTGGTAGAATTTTTTTTTCATTTGCGCTCTCTGGTCATCTTCCCGATGCGCTCGAATACATCGTGTAAATTTATCTCGTCGGAATATCTTAGTATTTTGTATGTTGTGACTATTTTCATCCCCCAGCCTTTATCCATCGTTCTTCAAATCTTGTAAGTTTCAGTTATTTCAACCAATTTTCATATATTATTTTCTTGATCTCGGTGGAAGTTCTTTGTGCTTTCTCAAGCTCGGGAGAAACCTTTCGCCACTAGTGTCTGGACCAACAGGAAGACGCGTGACCAACAGGAGAATAAGTGACCAACAGGAAGACACAGCACCAACAGGAAGTCACGTGACTAACAGGAAGACACGTGACCAACAGGAAGACACATACGAGGCAGTTACCAAGGTTTGCTCGCCATCAAATTGACGATAATAATAAATAATAATAATAATAATAATAATAATAATAATTATAATATAATAATATATTATATATTATTATTATTATTATTATTATTATATAATTATTAAATAATAGCAGAAAAATAACAATAACTATAATAACATTGGTCGTTGAGGAAGATACAACAGTTGATTCCATCTCTCACGACACATTTATTTTATCATGCTCCATATTTTGGACTCCCAAAGAAAAAAATAAAGAGAAGGGTAAAAAATAAAAATATGTATATAACGCCTTACATAATTTTATTCAAGGAAGGAGCAGATGGGGTCCTGTATTCTGGACAATGACCTCCTCTCTTAGTGACGTGAATAATGTTCCGCTACAGACATGAGCTGGAAGGGGTGTTGCTAGCTTATTTACCAAGGGGTGAAGACCCCTGAGACACGCGTCTTTGTCAGAGGATTGGTCCATTCAGTGGTGAGGGATCTATGGTTGTGTGTCTATGGACTGATGGTCATAATAAGGTGATTCAAGGGAACCCTGACTTCTGGCTTATAGTGGTTCTTCTTGTTGGGGAATTATAGGGCCAATGACAGCTTACGCTATATCGAGCCCTATTACCGTGCAGGACATAATGAGTTTTAATTTAGGCTTTGATTACATAGCACACATTTTTTTATAGTGGCCTTGGCGGCACATAGATGTTATGGGAACATAAAATGTTCAACATGGACATTGAATCAAGCTTACTCGATAAGGCCGAACAATGTGACTTGAATCCACTGGATTTAAGTGAACTAGAGATATTATCCTTAATTTTCACAAGTCCAGCAAGAACCTCCACTATCACGTAAATAAATGTTACAGTGCAGTAAATAATTGGATAGAGATGAATTAGCGAGAACCTTTATTATGACAAGGTTTCGCTTTCTTTGATCGAAATGTCGTTATATTAGGGCTCACGCTGTTGATCAAGCTCTAATGAGAATTTAAATTAGTGTTCGCGTTTTTAATGTAATGAAAACCAATGTTGATTACGAGCTAATGGGGCATAACATAAATGTGATGCTAAAAGTAATTACATGTATCAGTGTGGAGACAGAAAAACGTAACGTCATATTCTGGAATCCACGTAAATGTTTACTCTTTTATTATTATTATTATTATTATTATTATTATTATTATTATTATTATTATTATCGTTGTTGATGTTGTTACTATTATTTTATTATATATATATATATATATATATATATATATATATATTATATATATATATATATATATATATATATATATATATATATATTATTATTATTATTATATTATTATCACACTGGCCGATTCCCACCAAGGCAGGGTGGCCCGAAAAAGAAAAACTTTCACCATCATTCACTCCATCACTGTCTTGCCAGAAGGGTGCTTTACACTACAGTTTTTAAACTGCAACATTAACACCCCTGCTTCAGAGTGCAGGCACTGTACTTCCCATCTCCAGGACTCAAGTCCGGCCTGCCGGTTTCCCTGAACCCCTTCATAAATGTTACTTTGCTCACACTCCAACAGCACGTCAAGTATTAAAAACCATTCGTCTCCATTCACTCCTATCAAACACGCTCACGCACGCCTGCTGGAAGTCCAAGCCCCTCGCACACAAAACCTCCTTTACCCCCTCCCTCCAACCTTTCCTAGGCCGACCCCTACCCCGCCTTCCTTCCACTACAGACTGATACACTCTTGAAGTCATTCTGTTTCGCTCCATTCTCTCTACATGTTCGAACCACCTCAACAACCCTTCCTCAGCCCTCTGGACAACAGTTTTGGTAATCCCGCACCTCCTCCTAACTTCCAAACTACGAATTCTCTGCATTATATTCACACCACACATTGCCCTCAGACATGACATCTCCACTGCCTCCAGCCTTCTCCTCGCTGCAACATTCATCACCCATGCTTCACACCCATATAAGAGTGTTGGTAAAACTATACTCTCATACATTCCCCTCTTTGCCTCCAAGGACAAAGTTCTTTATCTCCACAGACTCCTAAGTGCACCACTCACCCTTTTCCCCTCATCAATTCTATGATTCACCTCATCCTTCATAGACCCATCCGCTGACACGTCCACTCCCAAATATCTGAATACATTCACCTCCTCCATACTCTCTCCCTCCAATCTGATATCAAATCTTTCATCACCTAATATTTTTGTTATCCTCATAACCTTACTCTTTCCTGTATTCACTTTTAATTTTCTTCTTTTGCACACCCTACCAAATTCATCCACCAATCTCTGCAACTTCTCTTCAGAATCTCCCAAGAGCACAGTGTCATCAGCAAAGAGCAACTGTGACAACTCCCACTTTATGTGTGATTCTTTATCTTTTAACTCCACGCCTCTTGTCAAGACCCTCGCATTTACTTCTCTTACAACCCCATCTATAAATATATTAAACAACTACGGTGACATCACACATCCTTGTCTAAGGCCTACTTTTACTGGGAAATAATTTCCCTCTTTCCTATGTACTCTAACTTGAGCCTCACTATCCTCGTAAAAACTCTTCACTGCTTTCAGTAACCTACCTCCTACACCATACACCTGCAACATCTGCCACATTGCCCCCCTATCCACCCTGTCATACGCCTTTTCCAAATCCATAAATGCCACAAAGACCTCTTTAGCCTTATCTAAATACTGTTCACTTGTATGTTTCACTGTAAACACCTGGTCCACACACCCCTACCTTTCCTAAAGCCTCCTTGTTCATCTGCTATCCTATTCTCAGTCTTACTCTTAATTCTTTCAATAATAACTCTACCATACACTTTACCAGGTATACTCAACAGACTTATCCCCCTATAATTTTTGCATTCTCTTTTGTCCCCTTTGCCTTTATACAAAGGAACTATGCATGCTCTCTGCCAATCCCTAGGTACCTTACCCTCTTCCATACATTTATTAAATAATTGCACCAACCACTCCAAAACTATATCCCCACCTGCTTTTAACATTTCTATCTTTATCCCATCAATCCCGGCTGCCTTACCCCCTTTCATTTTACCTACTGCCTCACGAATATATATATATATATATATATATATATATATATATATATATATATATATATATATATATATATATATATTCACAAGAAAACGCTAAATCCAAATTGCTTATATAACGCTAGACGGCCGAAAAAAAAATAGGTCTGTACAAGGGAAAGTGAAATCAGAGAAGAGTCAAAACTGGTGCAGTAAGTAAGAGTCACCTAAGAAATCATAGAAAGAATGAACAGTAAAGGTGAGAGTGTCTGGGAGGAGAGAAAGAGAAAGTCAAACTTCCGTGTATTATTATTATTGTTATTGCTTACAAATATTTAAAGCAGATTTGGAAGTCAGTCCCTAAATCCTCCATACATCTCATCACTACTGCAACTTTCTAAGTCAACAGAAAGTTAAGACATAGTTCCTGGACCCATTCGTGCATGTGACATACGTGTGGTCGATTTCGCGGACTCTCCTGAAACCTTGCCAGCCCGACCAGAGGTAAGGCTTCCTGGGTGACTACCTGGTCAGGAAGGTTGCTACTGAGCGGCCCGCAGGTCCACATACCCATCACAATCTCTCATGAGCCTCTAGCAGATTGTCATTCACTTTCCTCTGTAATCTTCAAACGCCAGCGCAAATGATGGGTATAGAATGACTACCTCCCTCGGGATGGGTACGAGGTGACTACAATCCACAGAATAGGTATGACATGACTGCTTCCCTCAGGATGGGTATGAGATGACATATCAGATCCCATATTGATCAAGATATCAGTACACTGCGGCTTTCCCAACTTCCGTCAGTTTAAAACAAAAACGCAGAGGTTTTCAAGCGATAATAAGCAAATGTAACACTCAAAACACAGCAGAGGAAGGCACAATGTATTTAAGTATTATATCCTGCACAGAGTATCAGCAAGTTATGATCATTTCGTGTTTTTAAAGCACCATTTGCGCTCTTGGTATACACAGTAAGAGTCGTTTACCGGACAAGTCGATATTTATATGCATGGGGAAGCGATAAATCTATTGGGGGTCACACACTGGACGTCACTCACTGGGGATCACACATTGGGGTCACACACTGGGGGTCACGCACTGGGGGTCACACACTGGGGGTCACACACTGGGGGTCACTCACTGGGGGTCTTCCTGGTACACGGGAGGAAGCCTGTCATATATACACCATCCGTCAGGGATATTTTAATCACTTATAAAGGGATTATATTATTATCCCTGACTGGTGTATATCATCCCTTGACATATACACACACCCAGCGTATATATACTGAAATATGTTCACTTCTTAGTGTATATACTTTGAAATATGTGCACCTCTTAGTGCATATACTTTGAAATATGTGCACCTCTTAGTCATTTGAATATTCACTCTTAGGTATATGGGATATACCGTACACCTCTTAAAGAGCTGTACA